TCATCAAAACTCTAAAAAAACATAAAAATTTGTACCTAGTATTATAAACATACTGTATTGTATTAGTTCTTAAATAATTCCAGCATAAATAGCACTAAACTAAATGTACACAAGTCACATACATATCATTATACAAGTATACAAGTATATTGACAAAACCAGGCAAAGTGTGCCTGTGAAATGCATATGATGCACTATAATTACATATGCATGTCAACAAAGAATGATATACTGAGTTTAAGCAACCTACAGATCTAATTTTTTATATAAATTTATCAGTAAAACACAAACAAATGTAGATACACAATGGTTTAATAAAATGTGGCGAGATTTCTGATTCGCTGATACTGTACACAGTGAATTATGCCAAGTACACAGGCAAACAAAGCAAAGTAAACTCAACTAAAAAATCTGGCAAAATCACCTTTTTCTTGTAACAGTATTAAAGTTACTGTTAGTAATGTTTAATTGACACAACACTTTGAACATCACAAGAAAAAATATTCACATTAATCTTAATTTCTATTTTAATTTATTATAGACTGGACTGTGTTCGATATGTAGGTTGCTGTCTGAAACATAAACATTTTTCTATGTACTTTGCTTTTTTTTTTAAGAAATGTTATATCTGAACTCATGATTGCAGAGAATTTGTTGTTTTTGGTCAAAATAGTAAAATTTATAATTACTTTTGATGCGTTGTAAAAAATGTAATTAAAATAAATCCAAAATGGAGATATTCAAATGTCTGATTTATGCCAGCCATTATGTGGTTATGTAACATATATGAGATTATTATACTAAAGTATGCCAAAGCAGGTTATCACATTTACCAATGTTAAGGTTGAGATGATCCTGTATTGCTTTACTTTTCGTAGTCTCATAATAAACTCATACTGTAACACCATTTATTTTCACTGACAATTAATTTTACTATTTTGATGTTTTGAGCAAATTCACTGTGTTTTTATTAGTTTTATGAATTTGTTAAGAAAACAATAAGTCATGTAGATTCTATTTAGAGGATTTTATTGAGCGAAAATTAAAATTAGTGAATGCATTTTATTACAGTATTATCTGCTCAAAATAACACATTGCCACATTTTGCGTGGACACTTGCATCCAGTGACATGACTCTAACTCTGTCACTCTCTATGTTGTTACCACATCCAATGTGAACAAAGGAAAGCATTTAAGTGTCTTCAATAATTTGTGTTAAATGTCACTGACGTGGTTAACCCCAAATATAGGATGTTCAGAAATGAGTGCAAACACAGCTTTTTACAGAATAGTTTTGTCTTAGCACCAACAAACCCATCAAGGAATGGATAGAACCCAAAAGACAAGGGGGAATTACATTTATTGTATGCTTACGTATAGGCAATAATCCAGCAGTTTGTCTGACATTGCTCACATGTCAATGAACCTTACTAGCACTCCACACCAATCAGAGCTCTTATATTCCTGAGTTTCTCCCACAAATACCTTCAGTAAAAACTTACCTCTAATGTCTGTCTACTCCCTCGTACACTTGCATTGCGACTTCGGAAACTGCTATGGAAAATGAAGTTAAAATAGAATGACATAAATGAATCATAGTGATAATTTATTCAAATGTAGGTCATTTTATTCATATTAATAGACACAATATTTGTGCTGGTT